AGTCAGCTTATTTCCCTTTTTTGGACCACTGAAAAATAAATGTGTGATGGTGAGAAATGAGTGGGAGCAGCCCTTTTGAAATAGTCAGCGTGACTCAGGCCTTGGCTGGTCTAGTGTATCTAGTCTTGGGACTTTTAATTGGAGGCTCTGTCTCACAAAACATCTCAAGAGACAGAAAAACAAAATCAGCCAGTAAGTGGCCATTGAACATCTGCACGTTTGACTGTATAAAAGCATACCACATGGATGACTAGTTTAAGTTTCCAGTTCTTCTCACCACTTTAGTTTGCTTGCTTCATGTAGGCACCTGAAGAAGGTATGGCACATTCAGAGAACTAAAGTGATGGTTACAATTTAGGACATGCCAGATTGTTCCTGCTGAAACAAAATTCACCCTACCATTCTCTTCTAAAAACTTGAGTAGATTACAGTTGCCTTAGTATTAAACCTGAGTTTCTTAAGATGACTTGAGAAGTTCCCCTTTTGTGGTCTAACTTCCTGTTGGGCTAATTATTTTCATTATTTCTTCACACCTTTTCCCTTCAATCATTACTGAACAACTTGAATTTTCTTAACAAACACAATATGTTCCACCATGATTGGAGGTCATTTGGCATGCTATTCCCTCTGCTAGATAGCTCCATTCCACCCATGATCTCTGGTCCCTCCTTTTTTAATTCAAGACTTATCTCAGATATTAGGGCATTCAGAAACCTTACCATATATGACTGAAAAGTCCACCCTAGCCCTAGTATTTACCACACCAAAGCATGAATGCCTCTTCTCCATCTCTCCCATTAGACTGTAAGTAGCTTTAGGGAGATGCCATGTGATCTGATCAATCTTGTTCCCCATTGCCTAGCAAAGTGCCGTCATCTAAAACTGTTCATGTTGGTTGAGTGAAACTTCCAATGAATGGGGATAATTTTATTAGAAGGGAAGGCTGAAGAGAGAAATAACTGTACTCAATAGAATGAGGAATATAGAGAGTATTTATGATAAGTTCCACATCTGATTAACTTGGTGGTGTTAAAAGTGATTAAAATGATTAAAGAAAACAGTTTAGGTGATACAACCAAACCTTATTTAACATTTCATGAAGCAGATAGTCTCCATTTGGAGAACTGCTAAATGGGGCAGAAGGTGGAAAGCTTTTATAGAATAAAGGACAAGGAAAAGATTGACTGGGGCCACACAGTCAACCTTGTTTGGAGTGAGAAGGAACAAGGAAATAAGTATAGAACCCAGAGTTGGCTGGGCTTTGGGGAATTGGCTGATGGAACATACTGAACTTCTGGTGAAGAAGGACATGGAAGTTAATTCAGTTTTGGTTTGCTGATGTGATATCCCAGACATGGGCAACTCCATCTTGTGCCTAGAAATTTATTTCAACAGCAGAGATGACCACTCTTCTATAAAATAAAAAGTCAGAATTCTTCTAAAAAGATAAGCTACCAGCAACACTTTTTATCATGTCTATTTTATGGCTCCTGAATCCTCTTGTGTAGTTACAATTTTATCTTTTACCTCATGGTATGTTGTGATATTCTGTAAGTTTGTATGAGTGATTTTCCTCTAAGTGAGAGATGTGAATCTTTTTTTTTTTTAATCAGAGGGCTTGACAAAAGACCATGTACACAGTTGGCATTTTACAGGTTGATGCTTATGGAAGTATTTTTTGAATGAAATACCCTTGGAAGATAGGCTTTGCAAAACTGTTAAAATTAAGAGCCAAATGATGTCAAATCTCTAATTTATTACTTTTACACACTGGATCATAATATTTCTTTAAGATAAAAAGAGACTGACATTATACAGGATGAGGCTATACCCCATATTTTTTTCTATCTGTCAGGGAAATTAAATGTTCTTCAACAGAAATTCATGGCTGTAGAGTAGACCATATCCTATTGTGGCTAACTATATCCATGAATTTAAATAGTTTTATCCATGTGAATGTTTGATATCAAGCTGAGAAAATTTAACTCATTACATGTTTAATTTTCAGTCCCGGACGGTGATGGTATTTTTTTTAAGGTAGAGATAGGATTTAATTATTTTAGAACCCATGACCATATCATTTTGGACATCTGCATATAATTTAATAGAACAGTGCAAAATATAGTTCTTGAACCAGAAGCATGGGTGTTAACTAAGAACTCCTTTGAAATGCAGATTCTTGGGCCACTCAAGAACTACTAAGTCAGAAAGTCTTGGAGTGGGCCCTAGCAATCTGTACTTGAAAAAGCTCTCCAGATAAATAAATTTTGAAACTTACTAGAATCAAGTACCAACTAGGAAGATGAAAGGTTATCATGGTGGCGCTTGAGGACCTCTGAACTTTTCTAGCCTTGAACATTGCCTTGGAACTGCCAATGTATTTCCATGAGCCCTCTCAAGTGCTGACCCTTGATTTAGTCCACATATTCATGCTAGTAGACAACACCAAGAACTATTTGTCATGTGTAGTGAAAGGCCAAAAGGCCAAAACCTACCTGACCCTGTTGGCTTAGCAAGTGTGAGAATAACTAAGAACAGAAAAATTTTACAGTAAGTTTTTCATCAAGTCCAGTATGATCAAAAATGTCTTTGTTCTTCTGTGCTCTTTGACTGCATATGCAATAATAAAACAACTGAGTGGTTAGCAAATTTATATGTTTGGGCACAATATCAACCAGACAGTCAGTTAACTTCTTCAGTGCCTTTGAGATAATGTATACCTGTCGCTTTTTAAATGTCAAGTATCAATATAATTGTGTTCCTTTTCTATTTTGTCTTCTTCCTGATACTCTTGTTTTTGTTATACTGTTCTCTCCCTGTCCTCATCTCTCCTCTGATTGTCTCATATATACTAAGGGAGGTTTTTAGTAGATTATTAAAGGTGTTTTGGGGAATGATGTCAAAGTGATATGTCCACTTACATCTTTTGAATACTCTCCACAAGTTGACGGGTCATACTTAGACTGACTTCAGTATTCTGCAGTCTTGTGACATTGATTGCTATTACTTTTAGACTCTCCTATTTGGAGTACTCAGTGACAGAAGTCATTTAGGATACAGAATACTATTTATGGATAGTTTTATTTTGGTGGGTGATATTGGTGACTAATTGATTTCCTTTTTATTTAAATGTCTCTGGAAGAGAATATGACTTTTTTGAATAAAATCAAATGGAAAATAACCTCAACTCTTTAGATCAAATTACTGAAGCAAAAGAAAGGGTTTTTTTGTACATATGTATATTCTTATACATACTGCATGTGATAGGAAATGAAAAGTAATAGCTTCATTTTCTTGTATCTCTAGGAAGCTATAAAAGTGCATATGTGACTCAGGTCATCTCATAAAGAAAAAATAATATGCAACATATAAAATACAGGGATGTTTAATGGAATTATAAAATCTGGACTACCTACTTATTTTCTAGTAGCAAATTTATTCATTATTGTCGCTATTAATAATAGTAATATCATTATGAATCTGTGCATGTATTAAAAACCCACTATTTGCATTATCCACAAAAGATAATTTTCTCTCTGGGATTTAATTGTGGCTTTTGAAGGAGAGAAGTGAAATCATTATGAAATGCTGACAGATTCATACCTTCCCACTCCTGGGTCTAACACTCATTAATATTTATGTGAGGATTTTATCTTCTGTGAGAGAAGAGTGGGTTAAATAGAAGACTGTGTGATGGGTTCAAGGTGTGGAAATGTAGTCTGCAACACAGTACTCTGGCACATGGATCAGTAGCCAGTTTGAGGAGATAAATGTTCTCCTTTGGGCAAGAAAATATACCTCCCTATCTTTTTTGCCTACGAGTGCAATGGAAGACTAATGGAGATCTGTCTCCTCATGTAACTCGGGAGGTCCCTGGTATAATAATTGAAGAGAGATCTGGAGACAGGATAATTGTGTCAAAACAGGAGGTTTATTCTTCCTCCATTATCTGGGACTGTGTTTATTTATTGGCCCAGAGTGCATCTTGCCTAAATCTTGGGCTAGTGTGGCATTCCCTTCTGCTTGGTTTCTCTCAGCTGAGCACAAGCTGTTGAAGATCCAGCAACAGACAATCCCTTTGGAAGTGAAGCACTTGAAGCTTTTTGGTGTCTTCTGCTCGTGCACACATCCATGTGACATTGTAAGAATTTTATACAATTAAGAAGTGATTTTATTAGGAGTTGTGAACTAGTTATTAACAGAGGTGGGTGAATTAAGAGGCACAGACCTTGATTACTACAGAGAACACAGTCTGGGTCAAATTTCAAATCATGTGTCTGTGTATGTGTAGTAATTAAAGAATTTCCTGCCATGTCATTTAAGAGAGATTGTGAAGTAATTGGGTGAAGAATCACCAGGACTGGGACAAGAGGTGATAAGAAAAAGAATTCAAGATAGAGCTGTCTTTCATATGATTCATAAACTGAGGTCCTGCGTACAACCTTGGATACTTTTCTAAGTCAGTTCTGAACCACTGCCCCGTTCCAGTAATAACATGGGGATAAAATAAAACATCCTCCAAGGAGGCATTTAGTGGTGAGCTAAGGCTGAGAGCCTTCAAGGACATTTATCTCCATAGTAGCAACGTTTGATTCTTTGTGGTTTCCACAAATCTCTGTAAAAGGCATTGATCGCCGCTGTCAGTATGATTAGAGGAAGCACTGACGCATAGCATGTTTATGATTAAAAAAACAAAAAACAATTCAGGCACTTAACGCATGTCATGAGGAAGATTTCATTCTCTTGGGAAAAGATAAATTTTACTTTTTAAAGAGATGCTTTCTTTTCTTGATGATTTTCTTAAATGGCTTTGGCTATTATTTAAGATATATCCCAGTCTGAGGACCAAGCAAGTAGTACTTACTCTGTGATCTTAACCAATTCACTTGACTTCTCTTGCCCTCATCGTTCATGTCTTTAAAATGAGATTATTCTTTCTTTAGTATGTTCTCCACCTCTAAAATTTATGGAGTTCTGTGATACAGCCATTGTTCTACACGGCTCTTCCGATGTGCATTCAGGATTTACCCTGAAAAGTCAACTGTTAGTGGAATGATTATCTTTTAACCCACCCCCAACATTTGTGAACACTTATTATGTACCTGAAATTGTTAATCATTTTTGAGGAAAGGGATGTAGAAAACAGAATTGTATATCTCACTCTTTAACCTCTGTGAATATTCAGTATTTTGTGCAAGCAAATAAAGAGTTAAATTCCATAAAGAAGTTACAAAAGCTGTTATCATATACAACAGGGTTTCTCACCCTCCCACTATTGACATTTTGAGACAGATGGATAATTCTTTGTTGAGGAGCATTTCCTGTCTGTTGTATGCTTGGCACCATCCATAGCCCAGTTAGATGCCAGCAGTATCCCTCCAATTATGATAACCAAAAATGCCTCTGAAGATTGCAGAATGTTCCCTGAGGGTCAAAACTGCCCTGTTGGATGGATAACCATTGATCTAGAAGAGAGCGATAACACCTGTGGAATTTTCAGAGACGATTCATTCTACCTGGGTCTCAAATTATGAGGAATAAGGAAGGTTACAAATACAGATTGTAGTCATATTTTCCATCCTATAATGAGCTTGAGAAATGGAAGTCAGCCCTCAATTATGTGGTCTTCATAATGCTGGACAGAGTTGCTTGGAACATTCAAGTGTCTGACTCTGGGCCTCTGCTTGGGCACTAGTCAGAGGAATTAGTTGGACATGGAATTGGAATCTTGGATATGGCTATATAAATATTAAGTGATGGTAGAAATTAGCTTTTACTATTTTTCAATACATTGTATTTGTTCAAATTATTTTGTTACCACGGCCTTGATTCAGGTAGTTGCAGAGATTAAAACCTAGTTTTCAGTTTTGAAACTTCTACTCCTGCAATTTCAGTGTATTCAGGTCTTGAAATAAATGGTCATGCTAAAGCTAAATTAAGGCAAATTTATAAAATGGTCATGCTAGAGCTAAATTAAGGTAAATTCATATAATGCTTAAAATTAACAGCAGTCAGTTCCCCAAGGCCAGCATCTCTTCCAACCACTGAATGTTTTATTCCAGTGGGGAAAGATTATGCTATGTGACCTGTTAAGTTGGAGCCTTTTTTTGAGGCTCACTACTTTATGGCACTGCTGCTTCTAATAGGGTGTTGCACTAGTGCCAAACCCTGCAACACACATGTGACTATTGCTAATAGGTGGCAGCTTCAGCCATGGCTACTTAATCATCCCAGGGAGATCCTTGCCTGAGGAGAAAGGTGATAAATGTCACAATAAAAGATTAATTGCATATGTTTTGTGTGACATGACATCCCATGGGACTTAAGACTATGTTTGTGGTTTTATAAAGCATACTGTAAATATCAGGCTCCACTTTGGCTGTGACCCTGCCAAAGACGGGGCTAATGTCATTTGTCATATTCAGACATTGCCTTTTAAAAAACATCCTTGTTAAAGCTGCTACCAAGGTGTGATGTGTTTGATGGCTCTGAGGAAATTTTTGTTTTTATAATAGGATAGAGAAACAGAAAGACAGCAGAAGGGAGATGAGGAAGTGGGCCATGGAATGGAGCAAAAACATGTCACTCAAGGGAATGGGGAAATGGTGGTCTTCCTGTTTGATTAATGAATGTCACTAGACAGATGTTCTTATATCTTCCAAGATTGTTGACCTATGCTTAATGGGAAAACTGTGAGAGAGGGAAATCCCACTGAGAGAAGACAACCTCAGAACTTGCCAGGAAGGGGTTAGATATCTCCAGTGTTTGACTTTGTATTTTAGACTTTTCATTTGGAGGGAAAGTAGTGAATTATAAGGACTGGGGGTATAGAGTGAGAAGAGTAACTATACCATTTCTCTGTGGTCCAGTTATTAGCATACTACACAGTTTCACAGTTTTCTACCCTTTGGCTTCAGATTGGCTCTTAAGAGTCAGGATTTGAATTAAATCTGTGTCTTACGTCTATTTCCTGAGTGATCTGTTTTTCCCCCCTAATCCCCAACACTCGTTGTGCAGAGCCTAAATGATTGTTGTTTTTTTTTTTAACTGAATTTCTAGCTCTGGTTAGAGCTGTGTAACTGAATAGCATCGGAACATATTCTTGCTTAGAGGAGACAGATGTTTAGAACATGAAACCCCACCCAAAGGAGGGAATAGGATACATTTCCATCCATCCGGCCACTGCACTGACCAGCAGTGGCTTTAGTCCATTAAATAGTTAGCTTTATTTTAGATAATACTCCTTCCACCTGAGACCCTGGAGGCTTAATTTTGTTAATGCCTTTCCCTGTATCTTTTTCTGTGCTTTAACACAATGTGAAGATTCTCTTGGCTGGTAGTTTAAATCCCTGTGGCAATAGGGAAGGCATGATGTGATATGAAAGTACTTTCAACAGGAAATGAGGTTTACTCTCCCATTGCTTGAGTTATTGCAATCATGTGCATTCTGAGTTGAAGCAGTGTGTGAGGTTCCTATGTACGGGACTTAATTACACTATCACTATAAGCAGCTGACTCCTCAGATCTAGAAGGTGAGAATCGATGAGGGTGCAACTTGCAAGTATCTCTCTGCCTCTCTCTCTCTCCCCTTCTGTATTTTACTTGCCTTTCCCCCCCAACTCTGTGTTTCCTCCTGTACTTCATTTCTAGCCTCAGTTTCTTCTTCACTGTCTTTTGTTTTCAAGTTGACCTTCAAGCTTTAGAGGTAAGAATTGTGCTATCACTAGGAAGGCCAAAAATGCTCTAGTCTCAGCCACATTGTGAGTGAAACTGTTTGCTTCCCTGTGATTGTCGTGATCTTCATTAAAAAATAGTTATTTCTTCCCCTAATTTACTCATTCATTTATTCATTCTCAACAGTTCCCTATTGAACATTTACTGAGTATCAGATATTGAGCTAAGAAGAGAAAGAACAGCCCTTAAGGCACTTACAAATAATTACAGGGAAATGTGATGAGTATTTTGAAGGGAATTTTTGCCAAGTGCTTAGATAATCCAGTAGATGGAATTGCTAACAAGTGGGGAGGATGGGTATTGGAGAAAGTACCATAGAGTAGTGATGTTTGAGATAAAACTTGATTGATTAGTGGGAAGGTAGACTCACTGCTGTCAGTGGCATGTACAAGAGTATAGTAACATACAAGAGCCTTGAAGTATGACATTGAATGAGGAAGGTAATTTAATTTGATCTGACTTGAACAGAACATCAGAATGGAGTGATTACACATAGGTTTAGATAGCCAGTTTGGCTGGGGCTTTCTGTTAACTTTCCTTTAGAAGATTAACATTAGTAGAGTTATGTCATTTGGATTCCAAAGAGGAAGAAATTCAAGGCATGGCTATCTATAAAGAGGCAGTTGCAATGATCCTGGCATAAATAGGAAATTATTATCTGTGGAAGAAGTATATATATATATATATAGAGAGAGAGAGACAGTAATATGAGAGCATGTGAACTTTTCAGTCTTGCTGGAAGGTTAGAAAATGTTTTTTTGAATGAGGATATGTTGAGCTGAGATGGAAAGGGAGGTAGGCTTTACGTAGGTTAAGGAGAGGAAAAGAAGCTTTCTATAAAATCTGGGACAGTGGTGAGATGTAGTTATCTGTATACATAGGCTGGGAGAGAAGGGTGAGGAAAGTGAGAGCGTGATTTAATTGGTATTACTGGAATATAAATGGGAGGTAGGAAAAATGAGGCTAAAAGTAAGTGGAACCAGATTGCAATGGATCTTACATTCCGTGATCAGAAGTTTGAGCTTTGCTTTGCAGGCGATGTGAGACTCTGGAGTATTTTAGTTGAGGAGCTGACATAGGTAGATCTGCTTTTTAAAGACCTTAGTCTTTGATCAACGTAGAGGATAGATTTGAGGTAGGTTGCACTTAGAAAGAAAGACATAAATACAGGCCCTCTGGAGAGGCTTTGGCAAGGAATGCAGAAAACGTAAACCAGGGTAGAAATAATGTGGTTAGAGTCGGGACATAGTTACCAGCTCAAAGCAAAGCTGACTGTGTGGTCAAATAAGAGTTTGTGTCTTGGTTTGGGTGTTTTTAGAAAAGGACCTTAAGATGAGAATGGAAATGAAAGTTTGGAGAGGGGAAAAATGCCAGCAGGGAAATAGGGAAGTAAAACAGGGAAGGAAATTTGGCCAATAAAAGGCACGTTTTCAAGCAAATTACCAGTGTGGGTAACTGATGCTTAATCCTGCTGAGAAACTTTAGAAGGCAGTATAGAACACATGCTTTCAAGTTATCTCACTCTAGGGAGACTCTAGACCAAGATGGTAACATAAAAGACTCCTGGATTTCCCTCCAACCATGGACACACTAAATATGCAGTTACAAATTGATCAGTTCCCTCTAATAGAAATACAAATGCTAATTCAATTATTTCTATACATCAGGCAACTGAAAAATGCCCACATCAAAATGGATAGCAGAAGCTGAGACATAGTCTTACCATAAACCCTGCCCCTAGCATAGCACCGTAAAATCAAGAGGGAACCACCAACTCCTAGTTTCTTCCTGGGGAGCAAAGGGTTTGGACCACATGTCTAGCACCCCAGCTTTGAAAGCTACTGCTTGAGGGATGGAACTCCTAAATCATCTAGTTCTGCAAATCATTGGGGCTTGCATTCACACATCTAACAGTATTATAGTAAACAAAGCAGATTTAAAATAGGTGTAGGAGAAACTCCCATGGCTGTACACCCAGGCTCAGCACAGAGGGAGCAGGAAAAAACAGTCTCCCAGTTTCTGCCTGGAAGGGGTCTGCCTGTGTAAATTCCCAGCTGCTGCCTATGGGTCTAGCTTCTCATCAACCTGCATCTAGGTGCTGACTGTGATCCTCTCAGCATCCTGAATGAGCTGGTGGGAACTTTCCCTCATTCTTACTCTGGCTCACACCAACAATAAAAATAAGTTTCCAGCTTCCCCCTGGAAGGGAACTTGTTATCACATCTAGCATCCCAACTGTTATGGCCACCACCCAAGGAACTCGCTCCCATATCATCTAGCTTTGGAAGCTGTTGGGGCTTCGCATTCAGTCCCCAGGACCACACAAAACAAAATGGTTGATCTATTTGGGCACACAAGCTCTCTTAGTGATGATTCTCTTTGGCTTAGCACAGAATGAGTGAGAAAAAACAGCCAGCTAGCTGCTGGTTTTTCCTTGATAAGGGCTAGACTGCTTATCTAATATTCTGACTTTCCCATCTGCTGCCTGAATGTTGAGTTTCCAGTTAGCCAGCATTGGGACGCTGAAGGGGTGGTCAATTAGTAGTCTTCAGAAAGACTGGACAGATGTATGGGCATTTTCCATTCTTTGGGATACTGATGGGTCTTGGCATATCCTCAACTACTGGGAGCCATTAATAACAAAGGCATTGGCTTAGATAATCAAAAAGGTTTGAGAGGCAACCAGGAGCTTGGGTTGGGCTGATAGACAAGGTTCATCTCCATGGGATCAGTCTGTCAAGACTGGGAGAGGTGACTATTTTATCCAATGCACAGAAACCAAAACATAGAATCAAGGAAAATTAAGAAACAGGATAATATGTTTCAATGAAAGAGCAACATAAATTGCAAGAAACCCATCCTAATGAAACAGCAATAAGTGAGTTGCCCAGTGGGGAGTTCAAAATAATGGTCATAAAGATGTTCTCTGAGGTCTGGAGATCAGTGCAAAAACAAAGTGAGAATTTCAACAGAGTAATAGAAAATATTTTTAAAGTATCAAACAGAAATCATACAGCTAAAGAATACCTGAACTGAAAATGCAATAGAGAGATTCATCAACAGATTACATTATGTGGAAAAAAGGATTAGTGTACTTGAAGACAGGACTTTGGAACTCATCTAATTAGAGGAGGAAAAAATGAAACAGAGTAGAGATAGCTTAAGCAACTTATTGGACATCATTAGATGGACCAGTATACATATTAGAGGGGTCTCAGAAAGAGAAGAGAGAGAAAGAAGGCAGAAAACTTATTCAAGAAATACTGGCTAAAAACTTTCCTTACCTTGCTTTCAGATCCAGGAAGTCTGTTACCAAAAAAGATGAATCAAAAGATACCTATACCTAGACACATTATAATTAAATTGCCAAAAGTTAAAAAGTAGATCTTAAAACAATAAGAGAAAAGCAACTTGTTACATATAAAGGAACTCTTGTAAGACTGTCAGCAGATTTTTGAGTTGAAACCTTGCAGACCAGAAGGTAATTGGAGAGATACAGTCAAAGCACTGAAAGGAAGGGAAAAAAAAAAAACAAAAAAAAACTGGCAACAAAGAATATTTTACCCAGCAAAGTTGTCCATCAGAACTGAACATGATACTTGGAGTAGCAAATCAGGCCAGAATGCACTGAAATGGTAACACCCTAAGAAGTAAAAGCAGGATAACACATATCCTGGCAAACTCGGTAAAAAAACCAAAAAATAAAAAACAACAAAACGGGGATCACTCTTAGATTTTGTCTTGGGTCAATGGCTAGTAATCTCATTAACTAGGAGAATATAAGAAGAATGGTTGGGGGGAAAAAAGAGAATTTAGTTTTGGACATATTATCTTTGAGATATCTACGTGATATTAGGTGATTATGGATTTCAGTCTAAAGGAAAAGATCTGGAACAAGAGATTGAGGTTTAGAAGTGATAGCCTACAGAAAATGTTGAAATCATGTGAACAAATGAAATCATTGAGGGAGATGTGCAGAGTGAGAAGAAGAGTGGGCCAAGGAGGGAACTCTATAGAGATCATCAACACGTCAAGCTTGTCTGGAGGAAAAGCTATCTATGACAAAGAAGGAGAGAGAATGGATAGTGATACATGGAGAACGAGGATAATGTAGAGTTAAGACAGCAAAAGACCAGGGTTTCAGTAAGGAAGATATCAGCAGCTTTAACTTCAACCAAGAATAAGAGAGAGATTCAGTTATGTATATCTAATTGGCAATCATTTTGTCTTTAGTGGTTCTGATAAGAATAGTTTGCAGCAGAATGTAAGATGTAAGATGAGAGTGGATTTAGGAGTAAGCCTGCTTCTCTTTTGTGGATGAGATGGAAATTACATGAAAGCTAGAGGGAGATTTAATTTCATGCTAGGTTTAATGGCATATTTATAGACCAAAAAGGGGAGGAATCAGTTAAGAATAACAAACTAAATATCATGGGAAGAAAAGGACTGTATAGTGGAGCAAGGTCCCAGAAGAGGAAGTACTAAATTGTTTAGGTGAAGGATATGCTTAATCAGAAATAAGGACACTTCATTCTAGAAGACTGAAAGAAAGAGGATAAGGATGAGTACAGGTGAGTTTAAGTTAGTAGAAGGGGGCAAGTGGAAATATACAGAAGAATATATCTTACAGACTTAGAGCTCTTGTTGATTCAGGACACAAGATGCTCTGCTGAGACTGCGTGGGGTCTAGAGGAAAATGATTAAGGTTTGTAAATGTGGAAATAGGAGAGGGAACTGTCTGAGTTCAGATAAAAGGGTTGCTGAGACCCCACTGATTTTGCAGATTGAGGATTTGTAGCAGCGTGATTACCTGTTCTACTAGTAGTGCTCTGCCACCTGAATGTAGAAACAGAAAAGACTGAATTGTAGAATTGATCTCAAATTGATGTTTTATAGGGTAGGTGAGGTCCATAAGACAGGGGTACAAAGAATGCTGTTTTCTTTGCACTCATACTGCATGTCCAAGAGGAGCTAGAGATTGGGGCAGTCTGTACATTATAATCACTCCAGAACCCAGACTGATGGAGAATCTATATCATGATTTTCTTAATCTCCACAATCACTATAGCAGGAGAAACGAATTTTGGCAGGTCCTATACTGCTTATTAAAAGATCTATCCAGAAGAGACACACATTAAAGTTGTTCACATTTTATTGAATAAATCAAATTATCTGGTTGCTCCTAACTTCAAAGTGGGCAGGAAACAATACCATGTTAGGCTCAAAAAGAGAGATGGAATATTTGTGTACAGTTCCAATTACTGCTTTGACTAGGGCTTCTGTGATAATGTACTTTACCGTTCAGATTCTCTTAATGTCTTTCTGCCTCCTCCGTTCCTAACCTGCTTTACCCACTAAGTGTCCACATATTCCAAGTTTGGTTCTTAGCCTTTTATTCTTCTATTGTTTCCCTTGCTCTCTTTTCTTCAGGTGATTTCCAGATTCATGATCCCTGTGTTAACCTCATTGTTTTCTCTAGTCACATAGTATCTCAAATATTTCTATTGCATGTGTTGCTTTGACCTCAGTTGGAGAGTGTGCAAAACAGTAGTCACAGATAAACATCCACTTGTATTTCTCTGTTAATATGTTTTTCTTCAGATTCTGTCTCAGCCTCAAACACCTGTCTAGATCCTCTCTTTACCTTGAGATCAAGTGTGTTTATTTGTGGATGTACACATAGTAGGTGTTAAAAAAAATACTGGCTGGTGATTTTAATTTTTTTTTCTTTCACTTCTTTTTCTTTAGGCTTAGACTAATGCTAGAAGCACTTTCTGATGAAACATCTTTCCCCCGTACAGTTTTTTTTTCATGAAGGCCAGAGTGAAATCTGTATTTTATTATTATTATTATTTTTTAGTTTAGGTGATTTTTATTGATGTAAAATAGATACAAACAAGTTTATAAATTACAAGTGTACATCTGTGTTGCTATCATCTAGGTCAAAAAACAGACCACTGCCATTCCCCAGGAGCTGTCCTATATGCCCCTGCCCACACAATGCAGCACCTACCCCCAAGGATAAGCATTGTCTGGCATCATAGATTTGTGTTACTTGCTTCTGAAATTTATACAGGTGGGGTCATATGGTATGCACACTTTGTCTTTGGATTCTGTTGCTCAGTATTTTGATTATAAGATTCATCCATGTGGTTGCATATACTTTTGCTCTATAATATTTTAATATACAAATATATCCCACTTTATTTGTCCATTCTACTGGGGATATACGTTATGGTTGCTTCCTGTTATGAGTTGTTTGGAGTAGAGTTTCTGTGAACTTTCTTAAACATGTATTTTGTTATCTGTGTATTCATTCTCATTGGAAAATGTGCAGATCTCAGTGAGAATGGCAAATGATAGAATGTTACTAAGGCAAAGAGTCCGTAAGTAGCATACAAAAAGTGTTGATCATAAAAAGAAAATGAGTGAATGACTTAACCATATTTGAGTGGAGGACTTCAGTAATCTACATTTATTTTCATTTATGAAATTTGATCCAGCTCTTCCTCTTCTCAAGACACTTCAGTTGTCTGCTTATGTCCATGGAGAGATGCCTCCCTGTATTCAGAAAAAATTGAGTTATACAGCTTTGATTTTGTTTTTAGTTTTCTTTAAGTTCACACTTGCAGAAGTTCCAATTTTTAGCAAAGTAGTTGGTGGATTAAAAAAAAATCAACACCCAAACCCTCACTAAACTTATAACTAAACCATATTTAAAATGAAGTATGAAAATGATAATTTTGGAATAATTTTTTTCCATATTTGTATTTTTGGTTTTTGTCTAAATATGGTTTCAGTATTGGAGTTGCACAGACTCTAGGAGACAGGAATATATTAGGTTTGCATTAGGTTGTTCTTGGGCATCGTTTGGTTTACAGACCAGTGGTCAGTTTTTTTTTTTTTAAGCGTGTACATTGGTAGAATTAAAACTTATTTAATTTAATTTAATTTATTTTATTTTATTTTTAACATTTTTTTCTACTGAGTTATAGTCATTTTACAATGTTGTGTCAAATTCCAGTGTAGAGCACGATTTTTCAGTTATACATGAACATACATATATTCATTGTCACATTTTTTCCACTGTGAACTATAACAAAATCTTGTATATATTTCCCTGTGCTACATACAGTATAATCTTGTTTATTCTGCATATGCCTGTCAGTATCTACAGATTTTGAGCTCCCTTTTCTTTTAAATTTCCTAAAAGTAACTCCATTTGATAACTTATAAGAGAGGGAGAAAGCTAAGGATTAATATGAGGCTTAGGTCTATTTATCCTATCCAGTTTTTGGACTTATAGAATGTAATTTTAAAGCCTTGAAGTAAGATTCAAAAGAATGTGATTGAAGTCTTCACATTGGCACTTAAAAATTAGGTTACTTTACATTGAGCTTGTTACTTTTTTAAATCTCAACTTCCCCATTTCTAATGAGGTGACTGTAGTCAGTCAATCTCTGAATTTTAGGAATAATAACTTTTTAAACTCAACTATAAAGAGATAGAGTGAAAAGTGATATTTACATAGCTTTTTCTGTCTGAGGTTGAGTTCTGAGAGAACTTGGAAAAAAGAATGGGCGAGCAGGATCTGACTTTAATTCCTGTGCAGATTACTCTTGGTGGTTATGTGTTCAGCAGAGGGGTTCTGCCTTTGGAGGCAGAGACTAACTGGAAAGCCCTAGACTGATGTAGAGGACAGCTCTGTCTAAAACAGCACCCTCAAATCATGGCTAGTCTAGCCAGAAAAATGAATTAAATATTAGAGTGCCCTACAAACAGAATTAAAAAGGGGAAAGATTTTTTGTTTTATTGAAAATGAGAACATTGCCAAACAAATAAAATGCAGGAAAACTTCTACAAAGAACTGAGAAAGAAGAATTACAAATCTTCAGAGACTTTTTACCTAGATAGAATGAAAAATACTAACTGTATAAGTAGACTAAAAGGAAGGGAAAAACAGAATAATTATAAAGGTGTGAGCAAGAAGAAATGGCAAAAAGAAAAACAGCCCGAAGGTGAATAAAAATGTAAGGGGGATAGTGGTGGGACTGTGACTTAGAGAGCTCAAGGTTTAGATAGGATGGAGAAAATAGGAAGGAGAAATGGGGATGACAGTGGATTTATGAGTCATTCACTGCAAACAGAGCAAGTGCCTATCTTTAGGTGAGTAATGATGGATAACCAGTGGGGAACTGGCATTGCTTATATGTTAATTCTTCTTAAGCCTGTCAGGAGGAGCTCTTCTTATTGGGATCATTTCAAAAGCCTCAAGGCCACTATATAAAGGAAAAGGAGAAGGAGACTCTGTACAGTAGGAGTGAGGATTTGGGATGGAGAACGGCTTGGGGGAGGGGTGCTGTAAATAGAGTCTCATTAGCACAGTCAAGCTTGATGCCTGATTAATTATGGAGCACTTGATAAATAACGCCCTGAAGTGATGGAAATCAGGAGAAAAGGTACAGATAATTGAATGGAATTGAAGAACTGGCAGTATTGAGAGCGTCATTAGCATATTTTTGCTGCTGTTGTTGTTCTTGGCAGCTGCCCTTGTCACAATTGACTCTGGGCTTCAGCAGCTGCACATTTTGGTGGGAGGGAAGGAGCAGAGATAGGGAAGGTCGGTGGCAAGTAGAAACTGTTGTCCTTTATAGAAGCCCAGAGGTCCACTGGGGTTTGCAGCCAGTCTCTTCCTCCGGAGTGGTAGATGCCTTTCTCTCTTTCCTTTATGCAGAATTAACTTTTTCCTCCTCTCCTGCAGAAGTCAACCTTGGGTGTGTGACCGCAGTTCTTAGCATGGATTATTTTGGATTGTCTTTAGAAAGCTAATGCCTTTCGCAAGTCTCCTCTGAAGGTATCGCTGCTTGTGGTCATTTACCTTCTGTCCTGAATCAGACAAGTCAAGTTTCTATTTTAGATGGCGTAAGAAAACATCCACACACGAGTTCTGGGTACATAACCCTTTGCTTGGCACTGTACATGTGCCTTCGAAAATGGGAATTTTTTCATTGTCACACTTTTTTGTTCTCCCTATAGATGTCTGAGCTTATTGGGAATCTCTGTGGTTTTTCACGAATATACTAACAATAAAATTTTCAATCCAGATACATTTAGATAAGTCTGGGCAAATTTGATGAAACAAATTCAAATTGAGCAGCAGTAGGAGTTTCCCATCTCTCCCTGGAAGAAGAAAGTGGATCCCCACCCAGGGACCGTGTTGCCCTTGTGCATGGAGATGCTGCTACCTTCTGAGACGCAGAATATGTTCCAGGTCAATGAGATACTGCTTGATACGCTTAATTCTGCCTGTGGCCTGCAGCAGGGTGGTGTGTGGAGATGGGAAGCCTAGCAGAGGATCTTAGGAGCTACATCTACCTTTGCTGGCGTTTTAGTGCAGATAATAAAATAGCTTGGAGAGTGTCACATGAGATAGAACAGTTCTATCGAAAACCCTGCCACTTGGGATACTGCTGAGCTTTACCTGTCCCAAGTGTTTTTCTACTCAGTTAAATTTTTTCTCTCTTCTGTATGTTTTATTTTTGTTAAAGAAATAGAAGAACGAGTCCAAATAGAATAAAAATTGACCTAAATGCTTATTAAGACACATGCGTACTCAGTCTCTCTTAAGATATATTTTACTTACACAGAAACCACAATAAAACCTTCCTTATACAGTAGCTACAGAACATGGGTGAATGTGGGGGTTGGGCTCTGGAGAACGCTTGAAGGCAGATAGACACAGAGAGGGACATGAGGAGCTGTTAGTAGCAGTGTTCCTCTATCATTTAGGAATCTCTTCTTAAAAAATCTTGATGCATATCAGCTTCGTCTCAGCTCAAGAACTTTGGTTTATATTTGTTTCCTCATCTTAATAGAAAGTCTATTTAGAAGTGGTATTTTTTAATGTTTTGATTAATTTTCTTTTTTTTGTATATATATTTTATTGAAATAGAGTCAGTTTACAATGTTGTGTCAGTTTCTGGTGTACAGAATAATGCTTCAGTCATATATGAACATGTATTTGTTTTCATATTTTTCACCATGTTACCACAATATACTGAATATAGTTCCCTGTGCTATACAGTATGAACTTGTTATTTATCTATTTTATATATGTATTTTAATATCTACAAATCTTGAACTTCCAATTTATCCCTTCCCACCCCGTCCCCCCAAGTAATCATAAGTTTGTTTTCTATATCTGTGCGTTTGTTTCTGTTTTGTAAATAAGTTCATTTGTCTTTTTTTTAGATTCCACATATAAGTGATATCATGTGGTAATTTTCTCTTTCTGGCTTACTTCACTTAGAATGACAGTCTCCAGGTCCATCCACATTACTGCAAATGGCATTATTTTTTTATTTTATGTGGAGATTCCTCCAAAGACTAAAAGTAGACTTACCAAATGATCTAGCAATCCCACTCCTGGGCATATATCCAGAGGGAACCTTAATTCATAAAGAGACACGCCCCCAGTGTTCATAGCAGCAGTATATACAATAGCCAAGACATGGAAATAACCTAATGTCCATGAACAGATGACTGGATGAAGATGTTGTGGTATATGTATACAGAGGTGGTATTTTTTAAGCACTTGAATATCTCCCTCAGTGTTGAAAAGTGATGTTTTCATGAAGGTTTCCCAGGTGAAACACACAGTTCTTTCTTAGTGTAACCAGACCAGCCAGAAGCTCTATAGTGGTTTGTGTATTAAAACTAGTCAGTCAGCTCATGTCAGACATCTGCTAGGAATAAGGCAGGATGCTCTATCCCAAGATCTAATCTAATGAGATCCTGGCAAGTTGAGTATGTAAAATTTCACAAGTACCTGATAACCTAGAACTGTAGACTAGCCATGTAGTTAATCTGGAAAATCCAGGCAGAGGTCTTCTGATTCATTCCAGATGCTTCAGCTAATAAGACAAATTCCCTGTTTTGTTTTTGTATCTGGGTCTGAAATTCAGGCTTAGACAGCAGCAATACTACTCCCATTTTTACTGGGAGTTGTTCTTGTTTTGGTTTTTGTTCGTGCTTTCTTGTTCTTTGTATTTATTCAGTTCTGGTATTTCACTGTTTACCAAGAGGCACAGCTCAACAAGAGGTTATGAAGAGAATGTTTTATATTAGTCAAATTCTTTCTTTGTTGAGTAGTGTGCTGACTCCACGGATTTGTTCTAGAGTCCTTGTGGAAATTCCCAGGACAATGCAAACTCAGCTGACAACCACCTTGAACCAGTAGGGAAAATTATTCAGAAAAAATGGACTTCAAGGCCTTAGCAAAAGAAGTTCTTTTTTCATAGATTTGCTTTTCAGAAATTAGAAGTGACCAAAATTATTAAATTGGAATTGCAATAGATTATGCGCTGAAGGCATGGGAATGAGGAGAAAAAGTTCTTGTTTTATTTTTTATTTTTTCCCAGAATCTGTCAGGAATTGTGATGAAAAACACCATTAAAATCTGGAGAGTGATTTTCTGAGAGTGTCTATATTTTTTCCTATAGTAGCCATTTCTTTGTTGTAATTTTTACATATCTAAAGTTGTCAAATCATTATTGTTATAGCCAGATTTCAACTCATAGATTGGCTTACTTGCTTATAACTTAATGAGGAAGACCACAATGAAATGCTGCTATAATTAAAATGTCACAGATGCTGAAGGAAGTCCAATGATTTCTTCTCATTTTCCATTTATTGCACATCCCAGTATCATTTTCATTTGTAAACAATGTCTCATTATGTACATAAGTTCAGGCTGTGGTTACTTGTGCATTTTTGAACTTCCCTTTGACTTTAACACATGTAATAAAATTTTCTTTTTAACGCTGGTGTTGAATTCTCTTATTCTAGGGAAGAAAGCAGTTTAGTTGTGTAGGAGATTTAATGAGCATACTTTGTAATTTAAGAATGGAAGTGAAATTGTTGCAAGAATTGACATTTCTGAGCCACTACTCATGGCTATGTTTTATTAAAGTAAACATTCAGAGAAGAAGAGGAATAGACAATCAGACATTCAGATATTTTGTCAACATGCTATGAAGTGTCCAGATGTTTTGGAAACATCTGGTGTTTGATAATTTTGTTTATTCCCATGGCTGTTTAGTGTTGCATGTGCACAGAGATGTCCCCTTAATTTGAAGACTCTACTCATCTCTTGGAGCATTGTACTTCATGTTGCACACCTGAACATATAAAAACATACTTTATATCATGGTCCACTGTATTTGTGCATATTCACATTTACATCCATATCACCCCACAAATGTATCACAGAAACAACAGCTTCGCAAAGTAATATGTGGCCTTACTACTTGTGATGAATTTTTGTATTTTCTGTGCCTTTCCTTATTTTTGAAAATAAATAATTCTACATTAATTCTGCTGTCTGTGAATTATTGGGTTGTAACGCCCATTTCAAAAACTTGTATTAGAATGTACCGCCAAACTGAGGTGTCTCCCTTAGAGGAGAGTGTGGGTATAACATAATGGCATGTAACCTTTCAGTAAGTTTCAGAACAGTAGTGCAATTCAAGCTTTAATCTTCACAAGCACACTCTTTGTGTTCATAGTGGACTTTGAGAGTAATGTTAGGATCTTTTTAGCCCTCATCGGGGTCTCATCAAGGAAAGAAAAGAAGATTGGAGTTCGGAGGCAGGGTCTCTCGCGTTCGATTGCTTTTCAGAAGTTTTAATTGCCAGCCTTAGTGACGATTCCCTGGAGAAGAACTTAGTGGTCATTAGCAGCAAGCAAGATGCCAGTTCACTCAGGAGCTGTCAGCTACAAGTAGCCAACTTTTTTCAGTGCCATCCTTTGTTTAATTTAGGTGAAGGAGCCTCAGTGTACCATAGCTGGCTCTGCCAGTGGGGAGTGATTTTACCACCCCATTTTCAGAAGGCTCTTTAGTCTTGTCTTTTAGGAACATTTAGCACCTATAACTCACCTGCTTGCACTAAGCATATCATCTGATTCATGTCTTCATGACCTAAAGGTGAAAGTGTCACAGGGCATCTTGTTTACCTGGCAGCTTGCTATCCAAAGTATTTAGGCTTCTTATTCAAATCTTGACCATTCCTCTGACCACATTACTTTTCTAGACCTAAAGCAAGTCTCCCTATGGTCCTCATTACCTCCAGAGATTCAGAAACACTGAACTCTTTAAGCAAGGTTATTAGGTATCCCAGGGAAATGAAAATCTCTTTTGCCTCTAATGACATATGGGGAAGAATAATAAACCTCAGGTTTCACGATGTACAGTGATTTTTTTTCAAGAAAATATTATTTACAGTGCTCTTCAATGATTTCTGCTTAAATTTGGGCATATTTTCTCATTTTCACTCTTTCTGAAAATGGAAAACAACTGCTCATTACCACTTTTGTAAAAATAAATGTAAAACTCCACATATTTATATATTTAATTGAAGGATGAATAATCCCAATCTCAAGTTTTCCTCAAATATTTTCAATAAATATTATCCTCAAATCTTTCTGTTGTCCTAAATTACTTGAATGCATTTGCTTTTTGTCCCTTATTGGAGAGGTCAGAAATCTGGCCAGTATGCCATTCTGTCTATGGTGTGACTGAGTGGTTTCCTAAACTTTAGCCTAACAATCATGCATCCCAGCCTTTTCTGTATCAATGATTTGTACTGAGTAGATGCCAAGTATTTATTTCTTTAATGGATAGATTTAAGTATGTTGCTATTTGGCTAGTAAATTTTGACTTCTGGATTTGTACACTTGTCTGTCTTCCCATTTTTTTTTCATTGTTCCCTTCACAAACATAGTGTTACTCATTTTTATTCCCAGAACTTTGTGTGCATGGTTACTTTTCCAACATCTCAAGGGAATTTTGAATTCTAGTCAATTTTTTTAATTACTCTTGAGGTTTGTGTAATCTAATTAATAGTCAACTCTCTAACTCCTTTGTTCAGAGAACCAGTGAAATTGTCTTGTTTCCATGTCTGACTTATCTTGAACACCTGTTATTAAATGTATCCAAGGCAGTATTTTACCAACTGATGAATCTTCAATATATTCCTACAGTCAATTTTGTCTATATAATGCAAAAGACTAATGGTTCTGTGATTCTATTTCCCAGAGTATGGAATTTCTGTGGCAGCTACATATCTACCAGATTTCATTGAAATATGTTAGAAATTAAAAAAAAAACTATGGCCATATGAAAAATGCGTTGACTGCCAGTTTGTTTTCAGATGGTCTACTGTAGTCAAAATTGAATTTAAGTTGTTTCTTGTTCCTTTTATAGACTATTGCATTTGGTCAGATTTAGCTCATTTAAATGTTATTGTGAAATGATCTAACACACCCCAGGTGCTAATGATAGATACTAACTGAACTCTTGGATAGAAATGTTGTTTGAAAGGAATACTTGATTGTGTTCCATGATTTTGTTGGAGTCCAGGTGATGGAGACATCTGGTAATGAAAGACAGCAGAGAGGAAAATATTCTCCACGTTTGAGAATGTTATTTTAGACTTTCACTTGCTTTGAAGGTAAAATGTACAAGATGCAAATAAGAGGATGACTAGGATATCAAATATAGTGTTCAGCTATAGAGATGTTGATGGTGCCTGGGCTGGGGTCAACATCGGGGACAGATGCATTAGGAGAAAATGATGCTTTTTGAGTCTGAAATGTTGGAAGAGTAGGGAACTCAGAAATAACACAGTGTAAATTTCACATGTATGATGGAGAATTGCATTAGTTACATCTCAACCATTTCTCTGTTTCTCAAGAATAATTTTGGCTATTTATAGTTGTATTGATATATATTATGTTTCAATATACATCCTGCACATTCCTTCTCTAGGAGTGATTCATTTTCAAATATGTTATTAGCAGGAATGTATAGATTCACCAACAGGAGAAATAATATAGATTCATCTAGTTAGAACCAAATGGAGCTGTATTTAGAGTTTTGTTCATCCTGTTAGTCTAGTTTATTCTGTCCCTCACTAGATATCTGTTCACTTCATACTGTGTAGCTGGAGATGGAGAGGGATACAAACGAAACATAAAATACAGAGCCTGCTTTTCGGAAGTTTACAGATTATATAAGAATACAAGTCATATTCATGTGAAACAGTGCGTGATGATAAGATGTGGTATGTACTGAAGGCCGAAATTAGCATTAAAGAGAGACATATGGACTCTTGTGGGCTGGGAGGGATTAGATAATAAAGAAGTCCTTAGAATTACCCACCTCACACTGTCAGCTTACCGTTGGCCAGATTTGAGGACAGTTCTCTCTTTAGGGAGGAGAGATTTATGACCCTTCAGTTTGTTCATGTAGGTGACTCAGAATCGTGTCAGTCCAGCTGCTGGCCCAGCTTGATCCTGTGCCCCAGTTTTGTAGGGCTTGAACCCCTGTGTTAAACCTGGGACAAGCTGTAGTCATATTCGCTGCTGTCAGTTATTTAATCTTAGACTCTTATGTTTTTGTACCTTTAATATTCAAACAAGGGATGTATAATAGAATTGCCAAGCCAAGAAGTGAATTGTAGTATATGTTAAGTCAGCATGTTTTTGCAGACTTTGCCACAGCATTTGGGATATTATAGTTCTATGAGAATAATTCAGGGCTGTGGATTAGCAGGTGGATATGATGGAAGGCCCAGGGACTTTGTGGTATTGTTTATTTCTGAAATGTTTGATCATAGACAGAGTTCAGTCAGCTAAGGTAAAATGATACCAATGGACTGGTAGAATAATGAGGATTAATAGACTGTAGGATAAGATGAGGATGAAATTTACATTCTTGGGGGTGGGTAAGATGGGGGGGGACCTGGAGCCCTGTAGGGCAGAGAAGATGATGTATTTTTTTCATTGTGTCCTCAGTGCTTAACACAGTATCTGGAACATAGTAGATAGGGTGACAGTCTGCTGGGTGACTGATGGTGGGAGAATATCAGATTTGAGATTCTGATTTCAAAGGATGATAAAAGATAAGGGGTAATGCCACAAGTGGATTCCAAGGTTGAAGAAATATGATGTCAAAGCATTTCCTGGACATGGAGGAATGGTGAGCCAGAGTATTGCCTGGAGGCAAGTTGAGTTCATTACAAACAAGAAGAGAAAAGAAACCTCAAAGAAAGTGAAAGTAGAAAGTGGGTTTAAAGCCCCTTGGGGAGCACAGAATAAACAGGTCTCTTATCCTAGCTCCTTGAGGTGGTGGAGGTGGTGGGGTTCAGGGGAGGGACAAGTGACAATCTTAGAAAAGACTGTCAACTGGTAATTTTGGCTAAGCCATATTGATCAAGAGGAAGAAATAGTCTTAATCAAAAATGGAAAATAATTTGTTCAAAACAGAATAAAGATTCTAAATCAACTGACACATGTGAGCCAGTCTTGGAAGAAGAAAACCTAGAGGGAATGAGCTGATAGGAATAGAGTTGAGAATACAGAAGTAAAAGAAAAAGTGAAAATAATAATAGGAATTAAGATAAATGGTGCAAGGAGGATTGGAAATACGAATTTTAAAGTCTTAAGCATACTTATTTTGCTGAAATTCCTGGGTATCCAAGTGAAATATCCAGTGAGCAGATGAATATTTTTGAATGTAGTTATTTTATGTCTTTTGTTTTGATTACTTTCCTTTCAGTATTTAATATTTTACAACGGAAATGCGCACTCTTACAAAACATGGATAATCATTGCTGGTGAGAAGTTTAAGATTGTTCAAGGTCATAAAGCTAGCATTTAGTGAGCTGTTAAGTGTGTGTCAGCACAGTTTGGAGAGCTTTAAAACATTAATTCATGTAATCGCCAAAAAGGCCCTGTGGGATAAGTACCAGTATTGTCCCAAAGCCACTGAGTAGAAAAAAGGTAAATAAATTAGAAGCAGACACCATAAAATTATAAACAAAAATGGTAAATAAGTACACAGAAATTCAGTTGGAAATGGGATGGGACTCTAACCAAAATTTTGAAACATGACCCTGTTTTACTTCCCAGTATTAACATGGTTTTTAATATTAAATTGCTCTGATAACCATCAACCTTTCTCCATTATTGTGGTACCTTCCTCTTGGCAGAGACTATTCACTTTTCTGCATTTAGCAAAAACAGAATGGGTTAAACAGTTGAGAGAGTAAACACTGACAGAATAATGGGAGCCAACGTGTGAGCATTACAAAGAGACGGAGGATGACACATCATAATTCAATGGGACGATAAAAGGTGATGGATTTCCTAGCCACCCAATCCTTCACTGATGGGCTTGTATTGTTC